CCGATTAGCATGCCAGAGAAACGTGTACGCTATTGACATAATTCATGTAAAGAGTATTGCTAAAAAATATTGTCGAACATGCCAACATAATTGGCTAATAAATTATTAACACCCTTTTGTGAGGTCTGTTATCGGATGTTGGAATCTAATTAACATTGACTATAAATAGAAATGTTGAGTTTTTCTATCTCTCTCTCTCTCTCTCTCTTGATTTTAATAAGAAATAGAGAGCATTTTAAGAAAATTCGATTATAGGAAACTACTTTTAATGACGCATAATGATAATTGGTTTATGATTAGTACAGTTTTAGAAGTTTTTCTATATTATGTGTAACCTCAGCCTCATAGCTACATAGGTTCAATAACATTTATATGCAGGGTTTAAAATGTTAACGCCAAATTAGCAATAGCACCGAAAATTTTCACCGTTGCCTGCTAAAAAATCTTCAAAAAATTTAGCCTATCAATAAGCTATATGAGAAATTGGTCCAATTTAAAAAAATATATCTATATTCGGATATAAAAAACATCGGGTTTTACTACAAACCACGTAAGCATTGTTTTATTCGATTTTAGAAAATTAAAACCTATTTTTATACCACAAGCCATATGGCTTGAGAGATATGATATATACATTTGACACGGCCAACGGTTTGAGACCCTAGATCTCTTTGGACCAAATCCGTTTCAGGACATTTGAAGTCGATCTGGGGGGTGTTCATCCATGTGGCTGGTGTGCACGATAACTCTCGAATGGGGGTATCTGATTTGGTCTACGCTTGGTGGTACATCGTAATATTATTGTCAAATTTAGATCGAGTTTGAAGATGGAAATATCGGTCCACTCCTTCTAATACCTCCCCCACAAGGAGGTTTAAAATATTGAATAACAACATCAAAAAAGAAAAAAAAAACGAAATAAGCATCCATCGGAAAAATATTGTTTAAAAATCCACGTTTATTGGTCTATGGGTCCTCGGAAAAATATTGTTTTAAAATCCATGTCTAGTGGTCTATGGGTCCTCGGGGAAAATTTTTTTTTCAAAAATCCAATTTGTTGTTGTTGTCCAATTTCTTTCAAACTTGGCACATCTCAATGTTTTTATTAACACAAGACCTGGTATGAAGGTGGGATATATCGGTCCACTCCACAAAGGGTTCTAAATATTCAAAATTATTGATACGAATACTCTTTTGAAAGATTGATTGTGTATTGATTATTATTATTATTTTATTTATTTTTTTTTTTTTTGAGAAACTGATTTCGGAAATGGGCAATATCGGTCCACTCCTTGTGGTACATCCCCCACAAAAGGTTGAAATTTTCAAAAAAAAAAAAGTTTGCTGCGCAGACAGAAAGATTTTGCTTCAAATTTGCAAATCCTAATATTTGCTCCTCCTCCACAAAGGGTCCAAAATTTTGAATAATTATAACTGTTAATAAGAGTCCGATTATCTTCAAATGAGACACATCGCAATACCCAATGTTCGGTGTGAAAGTGGTGTATATCGGTCCACTCCTTTACCCACAAAAGGTCAACATTTTCAAGAAAAATATTTTACTGCACAAAAAGAAAAAAAGATAAACCCGATTTTGCTCCAACTTTGCAAATCCTAATATTTGCGTCAGTTCTAGGATAGCTGTCGGCAAAACCGACTGATACTATTTTACTTGTTTTTTTATAGTTTTTAATATGAAATAGATTTTTTTTATTATAAAAATGCCAGCTTTTTAAACAGCAGTAAAAAATATTTAAATTATTTTAAAAGCATTTTGTTGCTCTTTTGAAGCATTTTCACATAAATATTTGCTTATAAGAAGGAGTTTCTTATAAGCGTATACATGTCCTTTTGTTCTTCCCCATATCTAATGAACACAAATTACTCAAAATGATGAAATATATTACAGAATTCCTGAAATAAAATTCTAAATATTGCTTTTCCTGCATTCAAAAAAATTTAAATCTTGAAATTTAATAAAAATTTAAATGGTGCACTTTCAATTGTATTTTGTAAACATTGTCTGGTTTAAGTGCCATAAAATACCACTCAGAACCTAGACTACGAAAAAATAAAGTAGTTGTTTGCAGTTTGTTTTCTTTTATGTTCAGTTCTTATCACCTCGACTGTTACGTAGCCTAGCAAGACCTGGTACAAGGAAGAACTTGTATAAACTTTATGCATGAATAAAAGTGATAAGAATTCTTCAAGGTTGGCTGATATATATGTCTGGTTTCTTCGACTCTAAGAATTGAAAACATACGGTGGATAAATTTGCAAATAAAGTGCAAAAAATTTTATTATTAGTTAATTGTAGTTCCAGGTAAAAAGTGAGTATTAATTTTGGATTTTTTATAAATATCTTTTCAAGGACCATCAGATCAATACACAAGTATTTTTTAACCAATTTTAATGAAAATATTTTTCAAAACTACAACAGTATTTTGAGAAAACCAATCGAGGATTTTTTAATAATATTTAGGAAACAATAATAACGCCTTTTTTTAACAATTTTAAGTAATGCATGATGCATAAATATAGTATTTCAGGACAAGAATGGTTAATTTTTGAAACCATATACTTTTAAGGACCTGCAGAGCAATTCATGAGGATTTTAAAAAAAATATTTTTAAGGACAAACGGATCAAGAAACGCACATTTTCTAAGGATTTTTTCAAAGATTTTTGTATGGAATAAACTTGAATTTTTTAAGGATTTTTTTAAGGACCAAAGAGTTTTTAGATATTTTTTTAATACCAAGAGTACCAACAATAACCGTTGATTCTTGAAAGTTTTAATTTTTAAAAGATTAACAAACCAATTCCCGCTGATTTTTTAAAGAGTTTTTTTCCGAGAAATTTTATGAGATTTTTTTTTTCAAGGATAAAAACATTTCCAAAATAAAATAAACGTGTATATTGTTTCAAGGGCCATACGACCATGTTTTAGAGTTTTTTTAAGGACCAAAAAAAACAAAAAACTTGGATTTTTTAGAGATTTTTTTCGAATACCAAGGGAACAATAAACGTTGATTCTTTAATGTTTTTTTACAATTTTTTCCAAGTTTCAAAGTTTTTTTTTTCAAAGACCAAGAGACCTATAACTCTGAATATTTTAAAGTTTTTTTTTTAAAGACCAAGATACAAATATTCCTGAATACTTTTTTCAAAGATCAAGAAACCGATATCCTTGGATATTTTAAAGTTTTTTTTCCCAGGAGATTTTTTAAGGACTAAAAGTGCATTTTCTACCATTTTCCCATGATTTTTGTATAGAATGAACGTGAATTTTTTTCAAGGACCATATAAACAATAAAGAATTTTTAGAGACCAAAAAACTAAAAATTTTGTTATTTTAGAGATTTTTTCGAATGACATGATTGATTCTTTAAATTTTTTTTCAAAGACCATGACACGAATATTCCTGGATATTTTAAAGTTTTTTTTTTCCGAGGATTTTTTTTAGATTTTTTTTTTGAAGACTAAAATTGTTTAAAAAAATTCAAAATTGTTTTTTGGTTATTAAAACATGTTTTTAAAAAATTAAATGTATGTAATTTAACAAATTAAAATAAAAAACAAAAATTTTTATGGGTCAATGGGTTTTTTTGAAAAATTTTCTTAAAAGTCGTCGTTTGGTTTTGTTTAAATCTTTAAAGGATTTTTTAAAGAATTTCTTTTTAAGGATTTTTTAAAAACTTATATATTATAAAAAATGTATTTAAAAGTACAATACTGTAGGCCTGTTGATTCTTGAAAATAATATATAAAAAAATTCACGTTCATTTGTCTGCGGAATCTTTAAGATTATTCTTATAGAGTCCATTGGGATAGCAATAAAATTTCCTTCAAATATTCTTAATTTGTTGTCATGTCATGTTGTCAATTAAATGTATGTAATTTAACAAATTCTTAAAAAAACAAAAATTTTTATGGGTCAATGGGTATTTTAAAAAATTTTCTTGAAATTTCTCATTTGTTTTTGTTTAAATCTACGATAATATTCTTTAAAATCCTCTTTTATAACTCTGTGCGTTCTTAGAAAATATTCTCAAAAAAAAAGATAATGAATAATTAAAAAATTAATTATGAAATTTAATTTTTTTTTATAAAATAAAAGTTTTTTGGTCTTTTAAAAAATATTCTTGAAATTCCTCGTTTTTAGTTCTGTTCCAAAAATGAATGTTTTAATTTTGAAATCTTCAATAAAATTCTTTTTTTCTTTAAAAATCTATGTTTATAGCTTTCATAGTCCTTAGAAATATTTGCTGAATGGTCCTTGAAGAAATTCCGTTTGTTGTTCAGGATGTTCTTTAAACAATATTCTTTTTAAAAAGTTATTTTGTTTTTTTTTTTGGCCCTTAAAGAATATTTTAATCCCCCTAATACTATGAATATTTAAGAAAATAAAACAGTTCTATTTTTTAATAAATATTTTTTATATTTTCATCATATTTTTTTTTTTGTTTTTTTTTCAAAGTTTTTTTTTTTATAAAAAAATACACTTAAAGCTATATCATGACACAGTTTAGGATGATATTACAGTTTGTTTTTTACTTGTTAATTTTTTATGCAAACAATTTAATACAAAAAAAATATAATATTTAAAAATTAAAACGATTTAAAAAATTTGAAAATTTTTACAACAAAATTTCAAAAATCAAATAAAAAAAAATGCTATGAAAAACTAAGGACTGTTTTTTTTTTAATACAATGATATGTTTTTTTAAGTGTCCAGTCAATATGACTGAATATATAACAAAATTATAAAATAAAATGTGTGTTTTTTTTAAATTAAAAGAAAACTAAAGAGATGATTTGCTATAGACTAAATGAGAATGGGATGGTGGGCTTTAAAAAATAAACTACCAAAAGAAAAAAGTATAAGGAGACAAAATATTAGAGAACAATTGTTGATGTTTGTTTCTTAAGGAAAGTGTGGTGCTTAAAAATTGTTTAAAACTGCTTCCCTTGATGTGGAGGGTTTCTTATTGTTTTGTAGTTTTGTAGGCAGTTTTGTTCTCCTTTTTGTGGGTTTTGGAATTTTTAGCGAAGTACAATGTTCTTGTCCGTTTTTTTGTTTTTTGAATAATTAAATTAAGTAGTTGTATACTTAAGTTGGTTTCCACTTAAAGCTTCTGGGCTTAAATTTTGTTAATTAATTTAAAAAACTAGATCCCCTTGGTGATGTTTCTTTGTTGGTGGTTTAAAATGGCAGGGATTTTTTTCAGGTCATTTGGTGTGCATGTGAATTTTAAATGGTGGGGGAGGAAGCACGGTGTATAGTTGACCCCCATTTGTCTTGTTTACAATTCCAATTGGAACTGTTCTTGATCCTCAATTTTCATTGATTCTGTCTTCTTGATCAAATCCGTTGGTGGTGGCACACACTTGCGGAAGGGGGTGCGTGGTGTACCCTTCAAGAGACAGGTGGGAATATTGGTGGGTGGTGACTGGCTCAGGGGTGATTGGCGCAGATTTTTCAAGAAGGCACGTTCATAGATCAAACGGGTACCTGGAAAAGTGAGAGAGAAGAAAATAGAAATTAGTAAAAGTTTTTAGTAAAGAAATATTGAAATTTGAAAATTTTGTGAGGAAGTGATAATGAGGAGATCAGTTTTATTAATTTTAATTTCCTAAAACGTAGTTTTCTGTTATCTTTATAATGGCTTTATAATTTCCATGTCTTTTTAGCATTGTTCGGAAATAAAGGCCTTGTCCATTGTTGAAGTTTACTATTCGAAAAAAAAAAAAATAAATAAAAGAATAATTGATAAGCGGTTTCAATGTCTACCACAATTCTTATCGCATTTTTTGTTTTGAGTCAGCCAGGTAATTTAGAGCGTGATTCATTCTGCCTTTGGGTAGGTCCATAATATTAAAAAAAAAATTGGCCTAGTTTTGAAAGCACTAATCAATTTGAATATATTAGCAGTTCATGAGATATTTTATTCGAATAAATTCAATATCAACAAACAATATTTAGAATTTTGAATAGATCGGGACTTTCAAGCCCTTGTATTTTCTCGTAGAAAAATTAAAAATTTGTCATTGTAGGAACTATTTTGTTAAGCATAAAGCATTCTGACTGGTAATTGATTCAGTTTTCAAATTTTGATATTAAGAAAAAAATGAAAAAAATCTAAGTCGATACTTTTTAGTCCTATTTTTTCATCTTTTTTAACAATTTCCAATTTCTAATCATTTAAATCGCTAAATTTTAAATTCTTTAAAAATTAATCTTATTTTCACATTTTTAAAAATTTCGAATTATTTTTGTTTTTTTTTTTATTGTAAAATTTATTTATTTTTATTTTCCATATTATTTTTTTAATCTACAAAGCCTAACCATTATTTCTTGTTAAAATTTATTATCATTTTCCTAATTTTTCACAAAACAAGTCTTTAAGAAAAGCCACCATTACATTTTTAATAAAAGGACCGAGACTTTTCAGCCAATGCTCTCTCTCTCTCACACCACTCTTATTTACTCACATTTACCTCCCACCTCTTTAAATAAAAAAATTTGTTTTTGTTATGATTTTTCACCACTATTTCTGCTCTTCTATAGTTTTTCACAAATTTTCTAGGGTTTTCTTTGAATACATTTTCCGCACAAAACTGACCTACATCACATTTTCTCTCCTCCTTCATTTCTCTCTTCACAGAGAATTAACGAAGAAAAACACAATTTTTCTTTTGCTTGTTTAGAAACTTACCACCAGGTGTTGTGGAGTACAAGGTGCCGCCAGGTGTCGAGGAATATACCTCGGGCATTTGGATGGGATCCGAAATGCGAATGGTCTTGGTTTTCTGGGGAACGTGCATGGCTTGACGGGCAGTTGGTGAAGCAGACATGGTGACTAGTTGTTGTTTTTGTTATTTAAATTGAATTTAGAAAAACACTTGTTGTTTTTTAGATTAATTTTTCACTTGGTGAATAACTTTGGTATTTTTGCTAATTATTTTTTAAATCACTTCGTTTTTAAACGTTATTTTGTTGCAAAATTTGTTTAAAAACACTTGTTATTTTTTTGAAATATTTCACTTTTATTCTCAAGAGAATTGAAAAACTGTAAATTGTATTTGCTTGTTTTTCTTCTGCGGGAGATGCGCGCTATTCTTAGCTTTGAAGACGATGTCAACTAACTGCTTTGAAAGCTGTTGGTGAAATGTTGTTCTTTCCTTGGTCGAATGCCGGTATTTATACGAATGGCGAACGTGCCAGAAGCCACCGGCAACGAAATGTGTGAATGTGTGTGTGTGTGTTTGGCGTTCTCTCACAGATATGAGTATCTCCAATACATGGAAAGAAAATAAACAAAACAAAACAAATCCGTATGACGAATAACACCAAGCAAGGCCAAACGTCGACGCCAGCCACATGTGTACTTTCTTTCTTAATCTCTCTCTTTCTCTCGTAGCAGTAATTTCGAGATAACATCTCTTTCTCTCATTCAGTTAGAATGGTTCTAAGGTTGCCGTGGTTTGGTAAATTATTGAAGCGATTTTTTTTGGTCACAAATATTTGAACTCAAAGAAAAATGTTTACATTATCAAAAATACAATCAAAATAGAATAATTTCAAACCATTTATCTATTTTTATTGATTGATTAACCATTTTATTTGTCCATTATAAAGAATTTATTTTCTTATAAATACCGTATAGATTTCTAATAATGGAAAATCAAATTAAACAAAGCAATAGGATTTTGAATACAAAATTAAAATATAACAAGTAAAATAGTATCAGTCGGTTTTTCCGACAGATGTATACCCCCACCCTTGAGTTATGATTATTCTGAAGCAGTTGGCCAATATTGACCAGTTCGTATCTGACCTAAGACTGATAAAAATATTACAACGTGCCAAATTTGGCACAATATCGACCACTTCCTATACTTTATATGAGATAGGTGCAAATTTCTGGAAAATATGGAAATACGCCTGAGGTAACAGATATAGCGGACCGAAGTATTTCATTTTCATACTTCATTTAATACAGATAAAAATATTGGAATGTGCAAAATTTAAAGGAAATCAAAAATTTATATACAATTTATGCGAAATCATAAATTTCGGTAATATGCATATTCATATCATATTCATATATATAGTTGTAAAGAATCGCCGACGTGTTTCGCCAAACATAGTATCGAAGGTATATTAAGTTTGCCATTCCGTTTGCAACTCATCGATATATTTACATTTCAGACCCAACAAACTTTGTATATTTTTGATAAGCCATGCAATATGGATGGTATATTAGGTTTGTCATTCCATTTGCAACTCATCGAAATTCTCATATCATACCCAAAAATTCTAAGTAGATTAGTCATGTTCGTTCGCCCGTCTGTTGTAATCTCTCTAGAATCCAAACGGCATTTGGTAGGAAGCTATACTTTAGCATAGAGTTCTTTTTTGTCTGCAGTCAGATCAAGTTCGAAGATAATGTATGTCGGTCAACGTCTTCGTATAGCATCCATATAATTGTATCACCCCATATGTGGCATATTGAAGATTTTAGCCAAAGTTTCCCGCGGAATTGGTTATAAACCCCTTTAGAATCCTAACGGCATGTGGTAGGAAGCTATAATTTAGCATAGAGTTCTCTTTTGTCGGCAGTCAGATCATGTTCGAAGATAATGTATGTCGGTCAACGTCTTCGTATAGCCTCCATATAATTGTATCAGCCCATACGTGGCATTTTGAAGAAATTAACCACAGTTTCCCGCGGAATTGGTTACAATTCCATATTTGGAGTTCATAAAGGATCCTACCTTCTGTGGGAGAAAATTGTTTATAAAGGTCCATGCTTTTCTATAGCTCCCATATAACTGTACCTCCCTATATTCGGAATTTTGAGGATTTTAGCCACTCTTTCTATTGGAATAGCTTAAAATTCAGTGTTTGAAGTTTATAATAGCTTTTACTTACTGCGGCAGAACATTTTTTGTATGCCCCTACAGAACGTTATATTCCCATATTCCGCGTTTGTATTATTTTAGCCTCAGTTTTTATCATATTTTAATAAAATTCTGTAGTCACAGATCAAAAGGGGTACCGATATTTGGATTCGATAAAGGGTTCTGTACTCGTGTTGCAGAACAATTTTCAAAGTTTTTTCCTCACATCCTCCTATAATAATTTATCATTTTTTTTTTTCATTTCAAAATAAATAAAAATGACCAAAAAGCCAATTGACAGATATGAAAAAATAGTTTAATCAAAAATTTACTTTCGTTTGAATAATATTTATTTTATTAATTGTTTAATTAAATATTTTACTTTTTGTTCATAATTTTAATTTCTTCAGAACTCGGCAGTACGACGTATTCTTGAAATTTTAATTTATAATGAGGGGTTTCATTTTAGATACCTTTATTTGTAATTCATTAAAAAAATTATTTTTTTTTTAACAAAATCCAAAGAACGGCAACCCTCTCTATGCGAGATTCTCATTCATGAAGTATTTCTGTTGATGTTTTCCTGAAAGAGTTGTTGTTATTGTGGGTACAATGTTTATGTTTTGGCTTATTTTGTTTTTATGTTTTGTGTGGCATCGCTGCGCTGCTCTGCTTGCTGCTCTTGCTCTCTCTCACTCTCTCTCACCACCTTATTGTTGTTGTTTATTTCATTTAAATGCGAAAAAAAGAACAAAACAAACGATGGTTGGCTGGCTGGCGTCGCTTCTAAAATCCAACGTGTACTCAATACATATTTAAAATCTATTGCGCACTCCTTTATTTTCGAAAGAAAATAAAATTCTTAAAAAAAAATAAAATAAAAAATAATAACAAACTAAGCATTTGTTGAAAACGGCTTGCTGTCTGTCTACCGGTGCTTATAACATTCATTGGAAAATAATTTTGTTGTTTTTTCGCTAAACACGAAAAAAATGTGATAGAAGTGCAATTCGTCCATTAAAAAAATAAAGGATAAAATCAAATTTTTCTGATGAAATTTAACGAAAAATTTAAAATTTTGACTATCATTCATTGAAATTGTGTTTTTGAAAAAAAGAATTAATCTTTTTATTCATATTTTTCTTTCATTTTGTGTTTAATATTTTTGTTTTGTTATCAAAGTGTTGTTTTGTTTACCGGCATTTTCGGTTAATTTCTTTAATAATTCAATTTGTGAAAAAAATGATGTCTTTGCCCTGGATTGGAACATTTTGTTCGACAACAAGGCCATTTATTTGTTTATGTGAATGAATAGAATATTTTTTTTTTGGAACAAAGCAACGTGGTTTCCTTTTAGTCTATTTTTAAATATTTTAATAGCTACGTGACTTTTTCAACTTTTTCTCGACCTCTTTGATTGAAAAATATGTTTTTAAAAATCCACGCTTAAAGATCTGATAAACCATGGAAAAAATTAATTAAAATAGTATTTTTTAAAAAGTAATTTTTGGACCCATTTTTTGTTGTTGTTCAAATTAATATTGTTTAAAGAAAAATGAACGAATATTGAAAAAATATGTGATAACTATGAATCTGCGGAAAAATTCTAAAAATTAAAAAAAAAAATCCGGAAATTAATATATTTTTATTTAAGCAATAAAAAAATATTTAGGGTTTTTTTGACAATTCTTAATAACTAAACAAAAAATTATTTTCAAAATCATTAAAAGAAATTTCTAAAATGTGTCTATATAAAATAAATAAATAAATAATAGTCTAAATAACTAACAGTCCAATATATATTTAGCAAATGTAAACATTTTTTAAAATTTGGACAAAATATTTAAAAAAAATCAAGTTTATCGATTTTTAGAGAATATTAAAAAAACATAGACAAAATATTTTTAAGAACTCCGCTTTTATTAATTTTTAGAAAATATTCACAAAAAACCCTGGACAAAATATTTTTAAAAAATCCACGTTTATTGCTTTCTAGAAAATATTTCCAATATAACTGGGCAAAATATTTAAAAAAATTCCACGAATTTTAAAATTAATTTTTCAAGGACCAACAATGAACGTGATAAAATTTTCTAAATGAATTTTTCAAGGACCAATAAAAAACTTGGAACTTTTTAAAATTAATGTCCGTCCGTCTATCCGTCTATTCGTCTGTGCAAAACACTCTAGCTTCCGAACGAAATGTAGTTGATAAAATTTTACTCAAATGTATATTATGTCTGCAGGACTTTTTGTATTAAAAATGGGCCATGTAGGTCCACGTTTTGGTATAGCCCCCATATAACGGTACCTCCCGATATTCGGTGTTTTCATGAATTTAGAGACATTATTCACCGGAATTGTTTCAAATTTGGTATTTGAAGTTTGTAATGGATACTACAGCCTATAACAGAAAATTGTCTGAGCAGGCCCACGATTTGATATAGCACCCATATAACGATAACTTCCGATATTCGGTATTTTTATGATTTTAGCGACATTATTCACCGGAATTGTTTCAAATTTGGTACTTGAAGTTCGTAATGGATACTACAACCTATGACAAAAAATTGTATATGCAGGTCCACGTCTTCTTATAGTCCCCACATAACGATACCTCCCCATATTCGTTATTTTGATGATTTATGCTACATTATTCACCGGAATTGTTTCAAATTTCGTATTTGGCAGGTCCACATTGTCGTATAGACCCTAATATAACAGCTACATTCGGTATTTTTAAGGTTTTAACAGAATTTTTAACGGATTTTATTTTTATGAAAATTGCAAAATTTGTACTAAGTGGCTTATAGCTTTTTTACTTGTTGTGTATTACCATCATATCCTCAAAGTAGTCTAAGCACAAATTTTTGGTAATATAGACATAGCAAAAGGATTTCAAGACCCTTAAAATGGGTAAAATCAGGTTGTACCTTTTTGAACCATTTCAGACATTTTATAAGAAATTTTAATTTATAGAAATCAAGCCTTATTGCGGTTCTGGTGATTATTAATAAAACCTTATTCCTAGAATCGTTCTAAATTTTTCAACAATTCTCTGATTATCTTCAAGTACGTGTTGTACATTATTATTTTTAATAACAATATATTATATTGATGACCTAATAAAATTTATCCATTTTTGCTTTTTTTTTATTGTTGCCTTATTTTGTTAAAATTCTATTAAATTAATTTGTAAACAAAAACACTTTTTTTCGTTGCTAATTTTATTTTATTATTTTTTTCAATTCCCCGCCATTTGTTTGCATTTCGC